CCATCACGGTAAGAATCCGTGTGCTTCCAAACCTTCTTGTTGAAACCATCGATACCACCATGGAGACAATGGTCCCCGTCATTGACTGTCAACTGATACTCCTTACCATCAACTGTCATACGGCCATTCAGAATCCTATTAGCATACCTGCAAAACATGATACCATTGGCAACACTTAGCACTGAAAAGTGACACTTACCTTCCTACACCACAGCACAGGTAGAGAGTGTCGTGAAGGTACTTCGTCCAATCATGGTCGTAGTTAAGATTGACCGCAGAAAACTTCCCATCACGATCAGGAGTCTCGAGACTGAGAATGTAGAGTCCGTACTCTGCAATGGTCACTCTGATCTTGTCGTTAGAAAGCGTAACAATTTGACTATTTTCCAAATCTACAACTGAATTGCAGTCAACGGAATAGCACTCCATAATAGAAATCGAGTAAAAAAAGGAACAACTGAGAAGATGCATGAAAGACTCACATTGCAGTAGAAATGATCACCGACGAAATACTACCAATGACCAATTCAGCTGCACAGCGTAAGCGCTAGATACGGACATCGAGAGGGAAGATTTGTTATTGACACAATATGGGACACCGCTGAGTGACAATCCATCTATAAGGTAGTACTATCTCAACAACTTCCATAAACCTCCACGGGGACGGTGGTTGTAGGGAGGCTCAATATATTCCAATAAAGTTTGTTTCGTAGCTCTTAGTTTACTCTGACTGGGGCGCCTATGCCATTCCAAGCTATGCCTTAATACAGGGAGGTACAGCATTTAGGATACCCTACTGCGGAGTATTGAGAGCTGAGGGTTAGACGGACGCAATCTTGCCAGTCGGGTTGGCGCGGATGAAATGGGAGGCAAGTTCGGAATTAACACATTTATACTTCACCGACTAGAGATTTGGGGGCGGCTATGCCACTGCCCCCAAGATATGCCTTAGTACAATCAAATTCTCCGACTGGGGCGATTATGCCACGACCCAAAGATATGCCTTAGTACAATCAATCTCTCCGGTGGGGGCGGCTATGCCACCACCCTAGGATGCGCCTTAACACTACCAATTTCCTCGACTAGGGCAGCTATGCCACTACTCCAAGATATGCCTTGGTGCAATGGGACAGGCGGATCAATTCCGCCAGCTCGCGATGTGCTGATAGATACTCCTGATCACCTCCGATGAGCTTGACAGAGTAGAGGATGGACACCAGTCGAAGTTTGGCATATCTGCCCCTCGAATTGAACCGGAATCCAACCAACAGCGAAACTCATTTTTGCAATACGTCAAAACTACAGCTAGTTCAATCGTACCGACAGAACTGCTCGTTTATATTCCTCCGCGCGCCACAAGTATATGGTATGCCTGCTAGGGAGCTATGGCATAGCTGCCCCAGTCTCCAATGGTTAAAATCAATCGTAATGATCGGGGCGTGCGCGTATGTCCTTTATTTAGCGCTCGCCCCAAACTCGCTGTCGCGTGCGGTGACAGCACGCTGAAAATACGCTGAATCCAAAATGACCAAAATGTAACATGTTACAGTAGAGTATTTTGGGAGTACATCTTTGCCCGCAAGTGAGTGAGTCGGTCTCACTTAAAACTTGTGCAAATAGCTCAGCGTCTTCACTGGGATGAGGGAAGACCTTAGTTTTGATTCAAAACTGGGTTCAATAGGTTCAAAACTTTTGAGGCTACTGAACCCAACTATCCGGGCTTTCGCACGATGGAATTAGCTCGTGTGGGTAGTTTTCAGCTCACTCCAGAATGCCTCCAAAGAAGGCTAAGAAAGGGAAGAAAAGCGCCGCTAATGCCAACAAGGCCAACAGTAATGGCAGATGTCGGACGTTCCAGCCGTCCTCAAATAGTTTATCCTTAGTCTCGTCGAAACTATTCTTACGGTCATACGCGTGTTCGTTCTGAAAGAATTGCCCTCATAATGTAGCGACTATCAAGACAGTCAGCTTCAACGATATTGATATAATCCATTCTGTCAACAGCCCTTTCGAATCTAATCATTGAAATTGCTGCTTAATTTGGAGTGATACGTAATATAACTTATCTTGTTCAGAAGTCGACCCTGAGGAGGCCGCGAGGTTATTGGCGCTGCAAAAAGAAGCTCGGCAAATTCGCGAAGAATATATAGTAGGCATAACAACGCAGTTGTAACCGAACGGATAAACTCTCAGGACGACGAGAAACAGTACAATCAGCTTTTACATGAACGAGAGAAAATAAACTACTTCTGGACGTGTAAGAGGTCACTTGGACTGATACTAAAACTGGGGCGAGCTTTTAGCGTAGTCTTTGCTACACCTCGTTTTAATGCTGTACCTCACTCACTGTTTTTCAAAGTGTTCGTGTTGCTCGATTTTGTTGTTGATTAGAATCGGGCGAACATATCATTTCTGATAAGGTGCGAAAAGGACCCGAGATGAACGAGAAGCGGAGCTTCGTAACAGGGAGCGAGGACTCGAGGATCTCCAAGAGCGACAACAGATCGAATTGAAGGTTCTTCAGCAGGTTGGCACAATTTTCTGTGACCATCCACGTGAATTGCTTGGTTTCTAGCGACTGAAACACCTCCGGTTTCACCTTGTAGACGAAACGATTGAGCAGAGGATCTCTAATGAGAGGATATCTCAACAGCACGCTGAGAAAGAGCATTTGTGAGTCGCGATTTGACTCGGCGCAGTGACTTCCTCACCTCGCAGGCCTCGTGAACACGAAGCGTTCACAACGGTACGGCAGACCCACGTTGAAGTGAGGGAAGCTCAAAATGCCTCCGATGCCTACATACGTGCATTGAAGCTGAAACAGGATGAACGAGTGCTCCATCTTAGGCAGGAGTACGACAGGAAAGCTAGAGACCTCATGCAGAAGTAAGTTACCCTTGGAAGGCTCCATGCGTCACATTCGGAACGCTTAACGATTGATCGTGTCGCAACGTTGTTCATCCAAACTCCCATTGTGAGGGCATCCACACCTTGGTGGCCTCATTCCGTTTCTGATCCGATTGGCACTACCATCTCATTAAAGCGCGATCAGTATCTCCTAGCGCTCGCGAATTCAGTCGAGATGTTGTTTCACGATATCATCATACGTATGAATGTGTGGTGATAGTATCGCGGACGACCGTCATGCGATAGCTCTCCTCATCAGTGTCAATAGTTTCCTAAGATACGCCTTACGGATGAAGGTCATTAGAGACGACAGAGAAAAGGACAGAAGGGCGGAGATGCAAAGCCTTGAAGCGGAGAAGAACCGTCAAGTGAAGGAGTTGATGCAAAAGAATATGAAGGAATTCCAAGCACGACTCTGCTTAGAAATTCTCTCTGACAGATCGGTCTCTGTTCTAGGATATCAAGGTGTATTACGGCGATATCACAACCTCTAATTTAGAGCTCATAAAAAGACTCAAGGAAGAGCATGCGGATATGAAGAAGCGGGAGATGGCTGATGCTAAGCTACTGTAGGGCTTTGTCGCTGTCGTCTCACGTGAGCGAATTGATATAACTTTATCATCGCTATGGGTCTCCAGCGGATTGTATGACGACGAGAGAGTTCGTCTATAAGTCAACAAATCGGCCCGATAACCTGCAGTGAGCGTCACGATGAGACGTTCTGATCAGGGCTCGTTGTTATGTTGTTGTTACGAAAAGCTTGTGATGGAATTATTCCTTCCCGAGATTCTAATGGGACTAGCCGATATAGTATTGTCATCGATCAGTCAGTGTTTTCAATTCGCTGGCTGGAAGATGAGAAGATCTGAGCTTGTCTAGGGGAAGTCGCATCTTCACCGTCACTGTTGAAATATATGTTCGCTCCCCTCAGCTGAACTCGGGAGATCCCCACACTGTTTTTAATCGTATTGTTCATAGGCGAGAGCTCAAACGCGAAAACGCCTCCCTCTCTGAGCCGCTGAAGCGGGCAAGACAGGACGTAGTGGAACTGAAAGAAACATATGCGAAGTAGAGTATTTACACGTGGGGATTTTCGAAGTTATTTTTGGTAGGTTTGTAGAAGATAAGAAGAGAATAGCGATGTTGAAGGAGAAGATTGGGGAGCAGGAGAAAGCTCTATCAGCGTTGACATTCCAGGTTGGTGATTCTGATGAAAATTGCCGAAATTTGGATTTTCTTTGACGCATTCTCCCGTAAAGAATTTAACTAGAGTCGCTGACAGATAGAATTTATTATCAATTTGATATGCAAATGGTAAAAATGTGTGTTATCTTTCGAGACTGATGCGAATCGTTTGGACGAAATTTCGTATGGAGCTAACTGTTGCTCGCTGATGCTAAGGTTGCGATACAGTCGATCGAGTTGTTTCCACGTTCAACCGAACCTACGTTGCTCTCTTTGTCATATCTATTAATAATATTCGCATCGACTTTTCACCCGACAATCACCGAGATTATATTCGGGATCGTATGTATCGTTCTGGAGCTGGACCTAATGCATATCTTTCGATGACTAACCTAAGATACTTCGCTGCTGCTATGGTAAGTGGTAGATTATGACTGCATAGACGAAGCTAGTTTGCCTTATTTGCTTACATGATAGCGATATAATGGTTTATATATAATTGAATATACCGTCGTACAATGATAGATATATCTGGTTGAATGGTTATATTATCAATTATTGTATATTATGTATACCTGTATCATTATTATTAGTATATTAACATTGTCATGATATTATAGATAGATTTACAGGTGATTACCATATTAACGTTATATTTATATCATGTTATATTATGTTATATTATGTTATATTAATGATAATAATAAGACTGATGAGAGAACCTAGGATATTTCCGGATACTGATTCCTCTCTTAGCAAGCTGTGTTGGACCAACAACTAGAGATTGCTAAAGCGGAACGCGACACTGCCACGAACAAGTTCCAAGGGATGATATATGGAGTTCAGGCGAAGAGTGGACTGAAGAACCTTGTGTTGGAGAAGAAATTGCAGAACATGCAGGTAGGTCGACCACCATCCTCCGACTTCTTGGCGAATTCAACTGTTTCAGGATTCACTTGAAGTAGCGGACGCCCAGGTGGTGGAGATGCATAGATCAACAAATCGCGAGGCAGGGACGGCCGAGGAGATCTCTGAGAAGTTCCGTCCTGTGTTGACTTCCAAGGATGATACCATATTTGAGCTGCAAGAGGTAAGTCCTTCTCCCATTGCACAACATTGAGGAGTATATATTCAGGAACAGCGAAAGCTACAAGAAGCCCACGCTCAGCTTGTCCGGACATTTGAGGCGAAGTTGGGCGAGTAAAGTTGCTCATCTAACTATTGTGGTCGAAGTGTTTGCTCAGATACGGTATACCTCGAGAAGAGATGGGATTTGATCCGAAGTTGCTGGCATGATCATCGTTACCTCCATTGTCGTCAATGTACAGACTTGTGTTGAGTTGTTGAGTGTAGCTGTGCCGCGCTACGGGGCAACACAATCCCTCTGTCTCCCCACACTGACCAGTCTTCGGTCGCTTTCTAACTGATACATGGTCGAAAAGATCTCTCTTGGGATATGCCGCTCGAATCAAGCGGCTTGATACTGATAATACAGCAGCTACCACAGCAAATATTTCCCTTCAAATAACAATCCCTCCTTGTTCAGGGCGCGCGCTTTTTGCACTCGTCTGTGTCGGTGGCAGCTATAGCGTGAAAGGCACTAAGATGGTCATGGCATGTAGTAGCTAGAAGAAATGACAGCCTCAGGTTTTCCTCTGTTCCTTTGATGTCGGCAGTCGCCCAACAAGCCTGTAATCACTTCTCTGGTGAGCTACGCCAGGTAGCCGCCGCCGCTGCGGTGGCGTCGCGTTCGTCGCCACTACCAGTGAATCTATCTGAGGTTAAGAATGTGTGTCCCTTCGTGGCTAGAACCAAGGGGATGCCCGACAAGACCGCGGTTGAGACTTTTGCCGGTCTCTGCCCAGTGATGTCGGTGGTTGAGAAGCCTGTCCTCATCCATAACGATCTTGATGAAGGTGTTGTGAAGAAGTCTCTGGTGACGAGAGTGGCCGATAAGATGTACGAGACGAAGTTTGAGTACAACATTGACAAGCTGAAGCAAGAAGGAAGGTATCGTTACTTTGCTAATCTACAGAGGCATGTTGGTACTTTCCCCAAGGCGACATTCCGTGGCCAGAACGACGAGGCGGGCGTTCCTAGAGAGGTTATGGTCTTCTGTTCGAACGACTATCTTGGTATGGGTCAGAACCCTGTGGTATTGCAGGCCTGCCATGAAGCTATCAACACGAGTGGTACTGGTGCTGGTGGCACTAGGAACATCTCTGGCACGACCAAGTACCACGTTGAGCTTGAGCAAGAGCTGGCAATGAACCATGAGAAGGAATCCGCGTTGGTGTTCTCCAGCGGTTATGTAGCCAATGAGGCCGCCCTTTCTGCTGTGGGCAAAATCATGCCTGACTGCGTTATGATTTCCGACTCGGGGAATCACTCCTCGATGATCGAAGGTATCCGCCATTCAGGTTGTGAGAAGACTATATTCAAGAACAACAGCCTCGAACAGTTGGAAGCCATTTTGAAGTCGTATCCCCTCGAGAGGCCGAAGATGATCATTTTTGAGTCTGTCTATTCGATGGCTGGCTCCATTGCTCCTCTGGAAAAGATCTGTGACCTTGCTGAGAAATACAATGCTCTCACTTTCTGTGATGAGGTGCATGCTGTTGGTATGTACGGCGAGCATGGCGCCGGAGTTGCTGAGCGTGATGGTGTTGCTGATCGCATCGATGTTATCTCTGGGACTCTTGGAAAGGCTTATGGCGTCTTCGGTGGTTATGTAGCTGCCTCCAGAAACTTCATCGACTGCGTTCGCTCCTACGCCGCCGGTTTTATCTTCACTACTGCGATTCCCCCCGTAGTCGCTGCTGGCGCTCTTGCATCAGTTCGTTACTTACGCCACTCGGGTGTCGAGAGAGAGATGCAGCAGTTACGTGCTAAACAGTTGAAGACTAAGCTACGGTCCAAGGGTCTTCCCGTGATGAACAGCACTAGTCACATTGTACCGGTGTTGGTCAGGGACCCAGTCAAGGTCAAGCAAGTTACTGACAAGCTTCTGGAAGAGTACAACATATATTTACAGCCGATCAACTACCCCACTGTGCCCAGGGGCACTGAACGTGTGAGGATCACACCTCTGCCGTTGCACTCTGAAGAAGACCTCGACATGCTGGTTTCGGCCTTGGACAACATCTGGGATGACCTTGAGCTGCCTAGGAATATTCCGGTCGATGACGTTACTGAGTGAAGCTCGCGGAGTTTCCTCTTCATGTTGGCCAATAATCTTCTCTCTTCTCCGTCAGAGTTTTCTGCTTCGAAGCGTCCTCTGACGGCGGGCATAATCGCTTCTCAGTTTTCTGAGTGCGAGCCCGATCATTACTGTCTCATTAAGAGACTACCTATTACAGTGCTTACTCTAGGTTATTGCTGATTCTGCGTTTTTTTAGTAATCCAGTGTCTTCGTATTGGCTGGTTAGCTGAGTAGAGTTCGAGCATGGTAAGTTGCCATGCTTGAACTCGTTACCATTAGTAACGATATTATCGCTAACAGTCACGCCCTTGAGATACAGTGTGATCTTTTGAATGATATGCCTATACGTATACAGGGCGCTCGATTCGGGGACCGTGGAAACGGCACGAAACGTCGAGACATCGCTACGATTATCTCCTTGTTGGCTCAACAATGTTGAGTGTGTGGTCGTCGAGCATCGCGCAGACGCGATACGCGTGTCTCGCGTCACGACTTGAGTGTGTGAGACCGACTTTCTGGTTGAGAATTGCTTTGCAATGGAGCATGTTTTTACGCGTCATCTTGACAGGCACAAAAATCGAACAGCCACCTACTTCGCATGGGTTCTAAGTTGCCTAGATGACATGGGTACTTTCCGGAGCTGGAATGGGCTATCACAGCCGCAACATGACCGTCACACCATATGATGAGAGTGGTGTACGTGTCATGTACACGCTTATGTACTACGTGAGCAGTATGAACATTGCTGATGTGAATTTGGGAATAATTTGGTCTTCCCACATCTTCCATAATCTCTTGAGAACCGTGATCAGGATCTGTCTCCTCCACAGGCATCCTAATCCGAGATATCCTTCACGAAAAGCGGCTGGAGGGAAGGGGGAAAAGACAAGGGGGAGAAAGAGGAGGATGAAAAGTAGGGAAATGAGAAGAAAAAAGGGAAAAGAAAGAGGAAAGAAAAATAGGGAGGGAAATTGAGCGATTTTCATTCATATCTCCTTGCTTCCGCACCGAACCAAACACTATTACGCAACTCAGTCACGGAATTTAAATGCAGGCTTTTATTATTCCAATGCAGGTAGTAAGAACAGCAACCAGAGCAGATAACAATGTCGTAGGACATGTTGGTTAACGGGCCTTACTTTCATTGAATACACAGTAATTCCGCATTGTACCGGTCATACCTCGCGGCGATACGTTTCCGCGAAGCTTCCATGGACTCTGCTAGCTCCTCCAGAGTGTCCACAAACGAGTACAGAGCGCACTTCCGCGGTCATAGTGGACAGAGGGAGTGTTTCGATACTTCTCACTGGTACTCACTAGTGGCAGCTTCAGACTATAGCTAGTCTGTCTGCTCGTCATCTCTCTACAGGAGTCTCCCGCGACTGGTGGGGTATGAAGAATTCATCGATGGTCTTGACCGGAGCATCACGCTTTTCTACCCAATTTGGGTAACCCAAAATTTGGGTTATTTAACAACGTTAAAAATCACGTTATTTAATAACGTCACCACTGGCAACGATATGATCGCATAGATTGGCAGCGATCTCACGATGTCTCCTCGATGCAGTCCAGGGTTGTACCTTTCGTTGGTCCTCTTCCGTATGATGTCCTTGGTTTGTGTGATGGTCACTAGAAGTAGAGCTTCTGGAGGCTTCGGATACGACGATCTTCGCAGTATTTATTGCACTTCAGGAGCAGGATTTCCGGCTTATCATTCTCATGCAAACCCAACCACAGACAACGTCGTGTCCACATGGAAGACATGGTGGTATTGTAATCGCATACAGGAGCGTATACGACGGCTCCTCCCATACTCCACAAGCATAACACTTTCCGCCTTTGGTGCCGATCAGGAACAGCCCACATCCGTTCATCTCCATCCAACAGACCGCTCACCTGATTTGAAGATGGATCGAGTACACATGGGTCCCACTGGACAGACTCACAGTGAGTCACTCACTTCACTAGACTCCGGAGAATATTAACTTACATTTATTTTGTTTCCAAGCTGCACTTTGTTCATCTTCAACAAATATACAACTGCTGTGAAAACAACACTTGACGTGTCAATACTATTACGTATTTGTAAGTTTACGTCAACTGTATCTTAACGAAAAGTCTAAAAAATACATAATATTATTCCAAAATACTATTCACTAACCTCAACCAAATACTCCTCCAATAGAATTTCACCACCAAAACTACTTGTATGTCTCATTATAACTTACCTTATTCTTCTTCCAATCTGTGAGTCCCTCAGGAGTGTTTAAACGCAACCTTCCTGTACTGATCCACTAACTGTTTCGAAGTTAGCCGTTGAGCTTTATGGCTAGTAATAGATTTACCACCAACCAACGGATAAAACGTATCACCATAATCATTACATAGAAGATAAACAGATAAAATATGATTAGTTTCAGAACGAGCAATAAGACAAGAAGTAATTTGTTGATCATGTCATCATCAGCATCATATTGTTTAGACGACTGAACTTTCTTTTGCCTCTCACTCAACTGTTTCACAGCAGTTGAACACCAAAAAGTAGAATCTCAAAATAAATTACAGACACATGAAAACTTCAAAATATACCTTTCAATGTCGGGGATTTTCTTTTCAAAAATCTCTTAGCTTCAGTAGATCTTAACCATTCTTTGGTTTTAGCTTTATACCTACTACAATAATACGAGAATACAGTAATAATACACAAACTTACAGTTTCGGATCAGTCATCATAGATATCAGTCTGAGTGATTCAAAACAATGGTAAAGTAGACTGGGAAAACCTTCGCATATTTGTGAAAGTAATAACATAAACGACTTATTCTTCCCCGACTTAGATGCCCTGATCCACGGATACTCTGCAAGCTAAGCGAGGCTGAGCTGGCGTAGCCTCGTCGACATTCAAGGAAAGCATTTCAAAAGTTTCACCGCTGGGAGAGTCACAGCAGCATCGTTGATTCGAGATTGCGCGAATGATTGGCAATCACGAGTATTGAACATTGAAGAGAATGGCATCCCCGCGAACTCCATATTCCCAATGAAATCTTCTTCAGCGGCTCTTCGAAAAAGAGAGTTAATACGGAAAAAACTGTGATTTTTCATTCTAGCTGATAAACTGTAATTTTTGTCGCTCCGAGCGACTCGCTCGGAAAATGCGAGGTTCGATCCCCGGTTCCTCCATTTTTCCGTCTTTTACACTATAAATAGTATAAAAAACAATTTCTCCTGTTTTTTTGTCTATCGATCACATACTGTCATTAAAACTACCTCGGAGTCTGGTGTTCAGATTGTTACCACTTCTTTGCATCATCGTAGATGTCAGCGACCGCTGCATCCACAATTCCCCGTTCCTATTATCCTTCTCAATTCGCCCGGAATGTCCTCAAGACAACACTGAAGAGGATGGCCAACAACTTTGCTCAGAATGAGCGAGTATTTTGGCACGACCGCGCCGTTATCGACTCGATCTCGAAAGACATTGGACAGAGGGGGACGTGGAAGGAGCGATGTAGTGTGGGAGGGCGAGAATCCAAAGTTGAGGTTTGTGGTTCCGTCTCAGCAGTTCGGGTTTCTGGTTGCCTTTGATAACAGATTTCATCTGTATAACAGTTCGGGTTTCTGGTTGCTTTGATAACAGATTTCATCTGTATAACAGTTCGGGTTTCTGGTTGCCTTTGATAACATATTTCATCTGTATAACAGTTCGGGTTTCTGGTTGCTTCATAACAGATTTCATCTGTATAACAGTTCGGGTTTCTGGTTGTGACTTAGGTTGATTAGGTTGAGGTTGGTATGATACGGAAGAGGTCCGCTAGAGGTCCGCTTCCACTTCCGCTCGTTGTTGCTGCTCATATCGATGCATGGTCCTGTTGAGATCGCCCTGTGACATAGGGTGACACCGAGCGAACCGTCACTAGGGAGCACACCTTTTTCTATACTTCCCCGTTTGAACCTACGTGGAATCTTCCAGCGTGCTTGATAAGGGCGTTTCTGTGGAAAAAAATCAAATCCGACGAGAATGAACGCTCCATCACTATTGCATTTCCTCATAATTTAGGTAATCTCTCCTTCGCCCAAGTATCCCCCTATTGCACAGCTCACGTTCTTGAGGCACGAAAGCCAGCGAAGAATTCGTTATCGAAATGGTTGCTGTATCTTCATGGTGGATATTTCTGTTTGTTCAGCCCAGAATATTACTATGAAGTGGCATCTAAGTTGGCTGAGGAGAGTGGTTGTCAGGGTGTAATCATCCCGCACTACAGACGCCCGCCGGAGCATAAGTAGGGATCCTGTTTCGTATTATACAATGGAGTTTCACCGGAGATAAAAATAATATATAAATCTATGGAGATAAGAATAATAATCGAATAGAGAATATTGTAATAACAAACAATAATTATATTATTGCCCTATTACTTACTAATATTATTGATTATAAGTGGATAACTATATTATCTCTATAGATATACCTGTTGTATAAAAAGTATTTTTGTAACAGCATTTTCTCAAAGACATCACGTGTTTTACTGCGTGTAAAACGTGATGTTCTTTATGCGAAATGAGGTGACTCGTACGGTGTAATTCGGCAAGTAATTCCAATTCATTTCATATCGCGTTTTCCACATGCAGCATTACGCCACTTCACGTGAAACGGGTGGAACTCCAATATTGAACCTTGGATGTTTTCTCTGGTCATTATGTTTGCTGTTCTCTGTAGTGCTCCTGCAGCCTTGGAAGATTGCGTGAGTACCTATCGCTGGATGAGGTCTGAAGGCCTAGCACAGCAGGTCGCGGTAGCAGGCGATTCAGCCGGAGGGAATCTGGGCGCGGCTCTGATGCTCTTGACCCAGGATCAACCCCCGGAGGTGGCGTTTTATCTCATCGTATTGTACTATTCTGATCGGTCGTCAGGCGTGTTGTCTCCTCTCGCCATATCTTGATCTCACAAATGGAAGCGACTCGTATCAAATCAACAAGGACACGGATCCTATTGTGTCTGATGAGCTCAATCATAAGGTGGCGTGGATGTAGGAACTCTCATCCGGAAGGTCCCGGGATCGAATCCCACACCTGGCGTTTTTAGATACCTCCAGGGCGCCCTCGACTACGATAGCTTGAAGAAGGACTGCAGAGTATCGCAGCCGTCCGCCTGTCAGAGTCGCGTTGCTAAAGTGAGAAAATTAGAATCATCGTCGGCGGAGCGACGCATTCTTTGCAGTTCCACGTGGCTGCTCAGAATCCTCTCGCATCACCTGTGTATGCTTCCAATTTACCAGAGGTCTTCAAGAACACTCCTTTGCAAATTCAAGCCAGTGAGTGGACGTTCGATCGATAGAGAGAATCCTTCATAGTGCGGCTAGGATACTGATAGTTGGATGCTCTCTGCACTGTAGAGTTACGATGAGCTTAGATTTATCAGCTCGCGTTCAGGTCTTTCAGAAGCGCTCTTGAGCGACTCTGTGCGGTTCTATTCGAAAGTTACTGGAATGGCCATGCCCTCCACGGAAGAGCTTGTCCGCCATAATGAATACATTGAATTTGATAGTCCTCAAGGCCATGTATTGGAGTTGTTCCCTAAAGAGGGCCATGCATTCCCAGTGAGCTCCCAATTTCGTGGCGCGTGACGATTTGATCATGGTCATCGTCAGGTGACTGCTCCCAAGCGTGCTGACTCGCAGAAGGCTCTTCAGTCGACATCAGCCTTCTTCAGGAACGCCCTGAATACCAACAAACTCGACTGACTTGTATGTTTAACCCCTTCCTATGTTCAACCTCTTCCTTATTCTAATATTACTACTACTACCCTTACTAGCGTCTGAAGGCATATCCATCGCTATCAGGCTGATAGTATTCTCAGCTTGAGTAGCATTCCTTGTCTCCCTGTGCACGCGTTACAGTGTACGTAAAAGTAGCATCTATTGTGTTCACGGCGAGTCAGACCAATTTCGAAGTAGACGGAGTGAGTAATAATTCATAACGTCGCTATCCCATTGGCACTCTGCGAGGTCTACGAGCACGTCGCTACGAGCTCTATCTGGGGTCGTCAAACAGGAGAACTCCCGACACGAGAGAAACGGCAAAGTGTTGAAACTCAAGTTAGATCAGATATAAGCCAGTCCAATTTGGCAGCCTCAGGCACTTGCGCCGATTGAGTATGACGGCGAACTGGGCGTCCAGAGTGCTATTCGCCTCTTTGAAAAAAGGATGGATGAGGAACAGCAGTGAGTGTACTGTAGTGGCACCAATGGCGATCATCGGGAGCGAGCAATTAAGCGTCTCTCGGTGCCGTCTTGTGACGAAGATGGACGTTTGCTGAAAATACTAACTGACAGTAGCAGCGGAGCGAAGTTTTGTTTGACTAGAATACGGCACTACCGATGGTATTCGTACAGTCCGATGTGTTTCGCTTTTGAAGCTGCACTTGCGTTGTCACAGTATTACGTTGAATTCACTGGAAGAAACAGAAGCCGTCAACACAACAGTCTCAGCGGGACACAATGTACAGCGACAACACCAAGAATAAGAGCAGCAACGCTAATATCGCTAATATCTCGTCACGTTACTTCAATGCAGCAGCACTGAATGGCCCAATTAGTGTCCGCCGTGAGTGCTGGAGTGGCCTGGGCTCGCTACAGCCGCCGTCGTCTCTGGGACCGGGCGCTTACTGGGTAGGGAATTTCCGTCTGAGGTTGATGATACCATGAACACGCCCACCTATAGGGAGTTGTATTTTGCCGTTGTGGAGTTCTATGCTCATCCCTGGTCTCTTTCTGAGTCAGTCTCTGATAGTTCTCACTGAAAAAAATAAATTCTAGTTCTCAATAAAATAACCTTCCGGTCGAGCGGCAGGATTCAAACTCCCAACCTGTGTGCAGCTGTCTCTTTCGCCGTGCGTTGCGCAGGGTTTAGTGTTGAGTCCAACTGACCGTACTAAACTCGACGAGTATGGGTTAACAACAGTTGGTAATTTACATACATGGTAAGTGTTCAGAGTTGAATCTCTAGCAGACTCTCAGTAAGCCGGCTAGTTGCGCCGATTGGTCGTATTCAAGCGGCTGCTGCCTTTCGCTGAAGACAGGGATCCAACATTGCTGGCCGAATGGTGTCTAAGGAAAAGAAGACTAGTAACCAACAAGAATGTGCCGGGTTGAGTTCTTACGGGAAGACTTCCGAAATTCCTGTGGGGTAACTACCAATACCCGATGAAGTCACCGAGCGAATCACAGAAATACCGTCGTCATCGAGTTTAGTACGATGAGGTCTAACAGAAGAGACAATAAAAACAACGGCTGATCACCAGACCGACCACCTTCCGTTCGATAGAGTAACAGCAAGTTTGGGTCTGCCGAGTCCAGAGTGTACGTAGCTGTGAGCAGTAGAGGCTGCGGGCCGTATCAAGCTACTGTTGCCACGTTGTGAGACACTATGGTCGTCAGGGGAAGCGTATGTGGGTGTCAAGGAAGGTAGCGACCTGATGAACCCCTAGTGCTGGTCATTAGGAACGTAGTCGCTACTTCGTAGTGCTAAGAGTCCGCTGCGGCTCGCGGTAGTTTACATGAGCGTACGAGCAGCTACTGTTTGCGGGTTGACCGCGCGTTGTCGAACGATGCTTAGAGGGGTAGTACCAACTAAGAGGCAGCAGTCGTAGACAAATGGACTCGGCTACTTTCGAGATGCACTGACCTCATTAGTCGGCTTTCGCTTCTCTCAAGGCTGCCTAGATTGCTCGGCAAGCAACCGTCTTTAGGAGCCCAGCCAGGATCGGTACCAAATTCCCTCGAGCTCCTAAATGTTCAACTGAGAGGCTACTCGGATGCTAATGTTACTCTCACCTTCCTCTTGTAACGGTGTTGAGATAAGGTATTCGTCTGAGTGCGAATTTGAAGTCGCGTGCGATGGCCTCCTTAAAGGCAGCATCGGTTAACGACATAGGAGGAGAAGCTTTCCAACCCGCTAGCAGGAGTAATGTGAAATAGTATGGAGCTTCAGACAAATGGCTACAAGTTGACTTCAACCCCAATAAGGGTCAGTCCTATCATTGAATAAGTATACCATCATCAGCATTCCCAGTTGTTCGAATCAGACGTTTGGCTACAGGTTTTCGTCACCACTCGCCGATCCAATGGCGAGTCAGGCCTATCATTGAGTCGAAATACGACATTAACATCACTTTCATAATAGCAGTAATCGTGTGAATGGTTGGGAAGTGCCTGCAGAGTTATCGATCGAAGACATAGCGTTGGCACAAGTTTTTTGCACGCATGCCCACCCCTGAAGTTTAGATCCCTGGTTCGATCCCCGGTGAGCGCTTTTCTACTGAGAATTAATCTCGCTCGCCATGACAATCGATACGCAAGTGAATCTTGTGCACTCGTTGATCGCATTCTGGCTTAACGACTTGAGATTCCTCCACATGGCTGATCATCAAATCATCGTGGATGACTCTGTGGGGCCCATCGATCATGCTGTGATCTCTGAGCTCGCCACTCAGCAAGGAACCTATCCTCAAGGGCTGGCTAATGCCGTGACCCCGCCCGCTAGAGGGGTCAAGAGGAAGAGTGGCGTTAGTGGTGGTGAACGCGGGACTCACGGTAAGCGTAACATTCAGTGATGATTCTCCGAAAAGAAAA